AAAGTGATAGAGATTTAATTTATCCTTATAAATCAAATCTTATAAATATCTCTTATATCATATTATATATATATACGCGAATTTATATATATATACACACGTCCACCCTAGATTATTCATTGAATCTAGACATATCTTAGATTCAATGAATCTGGACATCATAGCTCGTGTTGGGCTATTTTGTGTGCGACCCTGTAGGCCCATATGAAGTTGGCAGTGAGCCATTTACTATAATGACTCACAAGTCGTAAGCGGTCTCTAGCAAGACATCATGACTACCCAAATCATATGAGGATCGATGAACGATGTAACCTTTCATACAACCATATCACGTCCCTTTGTCACACAACATTTTGGTCATGGATGAGGCATGGAGAACGTCATCCTCCTATTCCTAACTGTTACTTTCTCGATCCCTGAGTAGTCTGAGTATAGAAATGGAACTACCTTTCCATTATAGTATGGCCATACATTTCTCAGACTCACTCATCGAGGGGACCGGTAATATCTCTCTATGAATGTGAGGGACAAATTCCATCTTGACCATTCACATCCCTCTATATGAAAAACCACTAAGCCTGAACATAGTCTTTATGATCACTCGATCAAAAGTGACTTTTGACTAGGTCAAAGCTGAGCGTTTCTCATGTAGGAATCCATGATGATCTCAGGTCAAAGGGCATAGTGACATGGTTTGTATATGAGAGAAGCTTGTACTCTTACATGTGCCTATGACTTTGATTTATATCTCTATACATCTTCAAAGTCATACTGGTTTTATTTCATCTCTGCTCCTACATAGATGACCGACCAAGGACATTTAGGATAAAATCATAAGTTATCCAAGGATAGTCATCACAGTAAACATGCAAATAATATGATAACATAATTAAGAAATTCATAAATCAACAATGTTCATAACACAATGATTGGCCCTTAGGGCACAATTTCCAACACTAAGCTTGGTTGAATCAATGTAATAATTAGGGAACTTAGAATTTCTTCTAAAAATCAATCCAACCATCAATCAAGCAAGCTATTCCAAGCTCTAAATCATAGTTTCTATCCTTCCCTAGCCATTTCTTATTATTTCAAAATTTTGACAACATATTACCTTGGGATTTTGTCACTAAATTTCACTTGAAACAAGTTAGAAACATAGTCAAATTAAAGCATGAACATACCTTGATTCTTGCTTGAAATTTTTGGGCTATTTTCAACGTGTTCTTGGCCTCCTAAACTCAGTTTTTTTGCAGCAAAAGCTCTCCCCTTCAAGTGTTCGAAAATCAAAAATTGAAAGTGTAAGAGGGGTATTTATAGACCTCAAAGTGGCCTCCTCTTCCTTCTAAGTATCTCTTAAAAATCTGAGATATTATAGCCATGTGGACACCTTAGATACTGTAGAAATATAAGAGTATACAAGTGTCCCTTAAGGGATAAGATTTTAGATAAAATCATGTAATATTTTACATTATTTTATTCCATAACCATGTGCACCACTTGGGCCACAAAAATACTGTTCATTCCTTGTCCAAAATAATGTCTAATGGGCTAGAGAAAGAAGGAAGAAGTATCACTTTGCATCTCTAAACATTTTTCCACCCGATTTTGCCGTGTTAGCTAAAATCCCTTTCTAATTTCCAAAAATATTTCTAGACCTCCAAAAATTCATTTCCTCCCATCAAAAATCATATTTTAATATAGAAAAGTCTCCTAAAAAATTTCAAAATTTATCTCAACCTCTAGCTATTTATTTTGAATTTTCTCTAAAATTTGGCTTTACAAATAAGATTTCGGTAATAAATGTTCTAAAATTGATTCATGTACTTTTAGGCCATGAAACAATTTTATAAACTCAAATAAATCCTCAAATAAGTGTTTCATATTTTTCTAGAATTATTGAGGCCTCCACATTTTAAAATAATTATTTTGGGCTAATTTTCTATTGCTTTTCTCGAAAAACCTCTGCTTACAGAAAATTCTTTAATAAATTATTTTCATGCCATTTCCACCTTTAGGGTCTCAAATAGGGTTTCAAAACCTCTAATTTACCTTTTTACCATTTTCTAAGAATTTTCTGAAATTTTTGTCTAATTTTTCCAAAAATATTAATCCAAAAGTTATCTCACCTCTGAGTCTACTTCACTACTTGAACATTTGTCTAATTTATTATTCACATTTCCAGGGTCAAAATTGGCAGGAAGTGACACAAACAGTGACCCTAGAGAGTCAAGAAAAAGGGTTAAGGGAAACTAGGAAGTGTTTGATGTTGAATTATGTAGTGATATGGAATGCCTTGGTGCATGATTAATAGGCATTGAGCAAGAGCAAGAAGAGTGCCAAGATGAAAAGCTAAGAGGCAAGAGGACAAGCTCAAAGAGAGGTAGTTAGAACTTTCAATTTTGATGTTAACTTTTCATTGTTTGTTTGCTATTTGTTTTAATGCCATAATGTGATATAGCTTACTAATTTGAAATATATTGAACTCTATGCATTTTATGTCTTTGCTATGTCATTGTTGAGTTAATTATAGCATGTTACTTTGCTTGTTTACCATGACATGAATATTGCAAGAAAGCATGTTGATATCTAGAAACATAGCATAACCTACTTTACATGGTTGACATTATTATTGTGGTTTTATGTTATTGAGATTTCCCCCGAAATCTTATCCCTATTATGTCCAAATTTTTCACACCTGGGAATTGGAAGTACTAGAGGAAAAGGGAAGGATGTAGCCTTGGATTGAAGAAGCGTGTACTATGTCATACTTTTATATGACTTTAAACCTTTCAAGCTTTAAACCTTTCATATGAATGTGGGTGTATGACATAATGACCTTATTATGTTGTAAATTATTGCTAGAATATGTTGAGATGATGTTATGCATAAAAATTATTGGCATGGGTTGACATGACATGTACTTCCAAGTAATGACTCACAAAAAAGGACAAAAAGGACCAAATAAGAGCCAAAGTTGACGATCACATGAATTTAAGTAAATGGTAGAGTTTGGTCACAAAATTTGGTAGGTTGATAGATCTCATTTTAAGCTATAAAATGAGTGGTAGGACATTAAAATTAGAATTTTGTATAGAAAGTACATCTACCCAAAATTAGTAGGACATTAAAATTAGAATTTTGTATAGAAAGTACATCTACCCAAAATTAGGCATAAATTCTAAAAAATTGAAAAATGTCCAAATGAACAGTGCAATTTGACATTAAATTTGGATACGATTGAGAAGGTAATGAGACTAATAAGCATTTTTCTCTTGTAGACCATTAAAAGAGCTTCAAATAAAATTTGGAACTACTTCATTTCGATATTTCTGGATTTAGTTATGATTTTTTAAAGTTTGCCAAAATTTTGGAAGTTGCTGTAAATAGTAACCTGAAAACAATTCTTGAAAACTAAGGGCTTGTTTGGTTTCTTATTTTAAAAACAAGTTTTTGTTTTTAAAAATAGAAAAAAAAATTTGTTTGGTAAGTTGTTTTTAGTTGATTGTTTTAAAAAACAGAAAAAGTAACATGTTTTTAAAAACCAGAAAACCAAAACAACTTTTATATGTTTTCCTGTTTTTGTTTTTGTTTTTTATTTTTTGTTTTGAAAAGTTTTGAGAAATCTTCTTCTCTTCTCACCTACTATCCACTACTGATTATTATAAACGACAATTATCACCTACCAAGTGTGGTTTTCTATGCGTTTTTTTTTCAAACATGATTTTTTTAAAATTATTACCCAAACAAATTCTTTTGTTTTTTGTTTTCAAAACTTGTTAAAATTGTTTTGAGAACAAGAAAACAAAGAACAAAAACAAACAAGCCCTAAATTTTCAAGCCTTGTGGCCAACATATGTGGTTCTAAATGCTTTCATTTGATGCACTTTTGGGTATAAAGTTAAGATGTTACACAAAGTGCTATAGATTTTTCTTGTCATGCCATTTAAAAGCATCCATGGTGTTCTTTTACCAAAAAAACCATTACAAAAGTGATGTGACTTTTGGTTATCTAATCATAGGATCAACAATATTATGGCTTCTAGCCATTCAATAAAATGAAATTAAAATAATACTATAATAAAATAAATTCAAATTCATATTTAAATATAAATAACAAATAAATCCAAATATAAATAACATTATATAATCATATATATAATATTGTGACATAATATGAACCTGATAGATATATGTAAACAAACAATATAACAAGAAGTATTGAAAAATAAATAAAATAAATAACACAATATCACAATGGGAGATAACAAAATTAAAATGTATAAAAAAAATAAATTAATAAATAACATAAAAGAATAACATAATATACAACAAACGTTTAGAAAATGTAAAATTACACATGATAATATGATAAAAAGAATAATTTGGTAAGGGGAAGTTAATAGAGAGAGTTATTATATACTATAAGAATATATCAATTTACAAAAATATACCTTACATCTTCAGAGCAAATTCGTGCTGATAATGTGTCATAAAATAGAGGAAATATAAGGGATTGAGATGAGAGGGATGTAGAAGATATATAAGAGAGAATTGGAGGAGGAATATTGAGGAATCCTTTATTGATTTCAAGTTTATAATAACTTAGTACATACTCACTATTTATAGACTACAAGTACTTAAATTCTTTTCAAGAGTTATAATAAAGCATAAATCTATATAATTGTAGGATGTATAACATTTAGAGGTTGAGTATTAATCATAGAAAACTCCTCAGAAGCCATTTATGTTATTGATTATAGGTTTTAAGTGTGAAATCCCAAAAGACGACTCTTAGAAGGTTATGGGCGTCCATACATAATCTGGCAATATTTATAACAAGTTCATATTTTCACTCTTTTTATCGCGTCATTTTCCAGTCTCCTTCAAAAGTGCATTGAAATACACAAGGGAAAAAGCCGAGTGAAAACGGATCATTTCCGACCCGACCCTGACCCACCACTCCTCCCCGCCTCCCTTAATCATTTCAGTTTTCACGCGGCGCCGCACAGATCCTCACAGAGTCACTCCGCCACCGAAGTGGTCGACTGAGGACGTCCTTCACCCACTGTTCTTCGCGCATCGTGCTCTCCGGTGACGTTTTCTAGCTCCTCAGCAGTTAACTAATGCGTGCCTCGTGCTCTTAGCCTTTCAGCTTGTCCTCCTTGCAGCCCTCGGCTTGTGTTTGGACACGCGCTCTAATATCCTAGCCACTGGCGCTGCCAATCACTGAAAACGTTGGAGAATTCCCCAAAACCTGGGCGCTTAGCAGTGAAGGGTGAGAATGCTCAAGGTCTCTGTAACTTCAACTTCCAGTGTTCAATCGCCCCAAGGATTTTTAGAGAAGTCAACTTATGGCCTGGACAAGTGGAGCTTTTTTGTATTCTGGCCTTCTCCAGCCTCAGGTATGTTTGCTTCCATGTCTATTCCCCTTTCTGTATTTGATGCTGTATTACTTGTCACTCTATCTTTAAAAAAAAAAAAAAATTTGTGCTTGATAGGAAAATCTCGAACTTCCATTCAATGTTCTGTTCGATTCCGTCCTTGCATTGATATACACAAGGTATGCCAATCTCAAGTTTGTCAAAGTTTTATTATACTCTACAGTTGTTTTGGGGAAAAAAGAATCATAACTGCTGTGGTTCCAATTGCTTCTGCGTCATTATTTATTTCAATAATAATAGCACACGAACAGAGAAATAACTTGTATAGATATGACCGGCTATTGGATAAATTTATCTGGTTTACGTGTTTACGGCAGGGAAAAGTCAAACAAATTGTTGGATCAACCCTCCATGATTTAAAGGGGGACGGGTCTAATCCTGTAACCAATTTTGAATCTGACAAATCAGCAGCAGAGTTTGCTAATCTTTATAAAGAAGATGGGCTTACTGGTGGTCATGTAGTTATGCTCGGAGCGGATCCTTTAAGCAAAGTTGCTGCCTTAGAGGCATTACATGCTTACCCCGGTACTATTTTTAATTTGTTGGTATTTACTTGTCTTGTGTGCGCGCATCTTTTTATTGTTTGTATTTTTAAAAAGGAAGGGGTTTTTTTTTTTTTTTTGGGAGGGGGGGGGTGTTACTGCCAATTAGGGACTTAGTGGGAAGTTGTGGACGGTACTACAAAGTAAAGTTAAAATTGGCCATCGTAATCTTTGTTTTGGGTTTTTGATAAATGAAACTAGAAATGCTAGATGGATGAAATGGAAAGGAAGGAAGAAGGAACTGCTAAACTATGTCAAATGCAGGACATAAAATTAGATGGCCGACATCTAGTTGTTTATGTAGGGTTAGTTTGTTTAAGATAAAAATAAAGTGATTTTCGTTAAGCCAAAATTAGGAAGTTGTTGAGAGAATCTGAAGCTAAATATGAGGGCTTTTTTTTTTTTATTGGGGTGGGGGGGATTATATTTTCAGGTTATATTGACGAGCATAAGCTGAAAGCAAACTTTCCAACACATCCCTCATGTTTAGTTTAAGATTCTTTCTCACCAACTCCCATGTTTAGTTTAATTAAAATTATTTCTTAAAAAAAAAAAAAAATCTTAAGCAAATGTGCCCTTTGACCATTTATTTTTTAGCTTGGATTTCCACCTAATACATCAGTCAGCCACGATATCGAGTGTATTCTGTGCTGACTTCATGCTGATGTTTCATGACATAACATGGGAGAAAGTCTCTTGTTATGTTGACCATGCGGACTGCCTGCTTCAAGCGTGTTGACCATGTGGACTGCTGCTTTGAAAGTTATTTGCATTGCCTTTGTTCTTTGTAGTTGATGACGTGCTAAAAAGTTACAGATTTTTCTTTGCTGAGCTGCACTTACTGTGTGGAAGACTGGTAACTTGCAGGCGGTCTCCAAGTTGGAGGTGGAATGAATTCTGACAATTGTTTGAGTTACATTGAGGAAGGAGCAAGCCACGTCATTGTCACATCTGTATATTTTTCCTTCCTCTTTTTTTTTCTGCTCAGCTTTTTAACTCAATACCAACAGATGTCTGGGCCAAATGTTTATAGTTACAAACTTGATACTTCAATTCATTTGAAATGACTTTTCCAATATATAAGACAGGTCTAGGCCTGTAACCATGAAGGACATATTTCCTTATTTTATATTTATTAATGCTTCAGCCTAGAGCATTAGAATAAAATCACGTATTTGTTCAGTAGTGAGAAAGGAAAATTACTTTCCATTCTCCATTGCATAACTTTTCCTCCATTATAATATTTGGAAAAGGGAATAACATTAAAACAAGAATAAAAAAGAGCCTCCAGTCTTGATTGATGCAAATACACGTTAGTTTAAAATAACTACTAGTAGAGCAGCGATACTTGGTAGGGAATGAAGTTATTTGATTTCTGTTTTCACAGTATGTATTTAACAATGGACAAATGGATCTTGAGAGGCTCAAAGATCTTGTACGAATTGTTGGAAGAAAGAGGCTTGTGTTGGACCTCAGTTGCAGGAAAAAGGTACAAATAGATTTGTTAGCATTAAATAGTAGATTGTATCCTAGAAAAATTAACTTGGGAAGAAGGATTGGACGTTAATGTACAGCATAGCTCTAGTAATCTGAAATCTAAATAGGAATGTTCTTGTGGACAAGTACTTTAATATTCAGCTGAAGGGATACAACTTTCAAGAGGAATTGATAGGAAATATGGAAGCTTTTATTCTAGAAGATGATTTTGCTTTTGAATTTTCTTATATTTAGTTTTTCTTAGTATGAAAGAAACTTTAGATTATTTTGTTACTGCTTCTTGAAAGTCAACATTTACTGCTTGTTACTTTAGTAGCTTGCTTCATACGAAGGAAAAATAGCTAACTTCATGAGGAGGAAATCTCCTTCTATAAATACTTTGCTGCCATTTGTAAGAGGCAGACTTTTGATGAATGAAAATTGCTATCTGATATCTCCCCCTCTCCCTGCGTCTATCTCTTCCTCTCTTGTTTCTCTCGATGTCTTCCCCCCATTTCCCTCTGTTCTGCTTCGCCCTCTCTCCCATATTCACTCTGTTTTTCTATCACCTTCACTTAAATCATTTCAGTTTGCATTATTAGTCCAAGGGTGTGTGAGTATGTGTTGCATCAGCAATCCTATGATCTGGGGGATGAGAGGTTATTTCCTTAGAGGAAATTGTTGCACATTTACATTTTAAGAATTAAAACAGTTTTAGATGTCACGAATGTTACACACATGGAGATGCATATACATATACATAGACACACGCACACGCACACGCACACGGGCGCGCTCAGACACATATTCTTGTGTATGCTCGCATCTGAAGGTCCTTAGAATTCTATGATTTTAAATTTTTTTTATCATTTCAGTTTTTCCATTTTTTGGTATTTGTGGCTTCTGATGTTCAGGAAGGTAAATATGCAGTTGTCACTGACAGATGGCAGAAATTTAGCGATGTGACTCTTAATGCTGAAGTATTGCAATTTCTTGCCAACTTTGCTGATGAATTTCTGGTTCATGGCGTTGATGTTGAAGGGAAAAAGTAAGTGAACATTTTTCATGTCTTCAGCTAGAATTAATAAGGGTGGAGAATTCTATCATCACAGAGGCTCCTACTTTCCTAGAGCAAATCTATTTGACAGGCAGTTTTGGTACAAGAATCATATACAAATGATATAAAGTGGTCTCACATTTTTCTGCTGTCAATTCGTACGACAAAGTAAAATGTAAACACCTTTTATGCGTGGATAGAAATGCTGTTGATGTTAATTGATTGATTGCTTATTGTAGGTTGGGGATTGATGAAGAGCTTGTGGCTTTGCTTGGCAAGCATTCACCGGTTGGTAACAATCCTCAGCTACTTTAATTTTTTTAGCTGTTTTATTTATCCTGCATCAATGTATTTAAATAGCCTGGATTATTAAAAGCAAAGAAATTGGAACATCAATTATTGATGATTAGAACAAGAAAAGAATTTTAAAATGTGGTACTACATAGAAATTTCATTATGCTCTGCCATTAAAGCTATATTAAATGTACATCTTATTGATACATTCTGGTTGTTAGATTCCTGTCACCTACGCTGGTGGTGTTACTGAAATGGCCGATCTGGAGAGGATAAAAATGGCTGGACTGGGACGTGTGGATGTCACAGTGGGAAGTGCGTTGGATATTTTTGGGGGTAACTTAGCATATAAAGATGTTGTGGCTTGGCATGCCCAGCAACAGGCCTCAATGGTTTAAGGGTGGCAGAGTGCGATCTGGGATTATATGTAATTGATTCTCTTTATTTTGCCATCCAAGGATATTTTTCATCAGTTCATCTGGACCTTGAATCTAAACACTTGCTTTTTCATTGCTCTCGTTCCTGCATCAACATCGACCATCACCTGTTCCTCAGGTTTTATTGTGATAATTATCAGCCAATTTACCTAGTTATGAAGTACAATAAATACAATGCAATTTTTAATTGCAATCATGCCTTCAAAGAGGCTAATGCTTGTGCCAAGTGGTTGTTAGCCTACTGTGCTCATCAAATTTGTGTTACCGTTTTTGGGGCGAGTAATCTCTTGGACAGAGATGCGGAGACATACTAATGCTGTTAGCAAGTGATCTCTAGGTCTTTACTTCTTTTATTAGAAATAAATAAATAAATATGATGCAGCAAGACCTCTCTTTACCCCTTCTTTTTATCTTTTGGAGTACTGACTCGGAATTTGTGTATACTAGTCCAAGACATCCCTATATCTTAAGCACTAACCTGTGAACATCCACAATCGCGAGAGCTACGGTTCATATTAAATTGCTAGTGTTTACACTTTGGTCATGTTATGTTGTGTTTTCTACGTTATTGACTAATTTCATAACAGAATGGTCTATATATGAAGCTTTATCTGCTTTAATGACTAGCTTCATAACAGATTGGGCCATTTTTCGGGTTTGAGTGGTCCTTTTTGGAGCTACATGAGCTACGTTAAGATTTGATTACTTTTCTTGGCATGCTACTCTCATACTCTTTTGTCTTTTAAAGCTTTAAATAGAACTTAAAACTATTTTGTTTCGATTTCTTTAGAATCAGTTATGATTTTTTAAATTGGTCAAATTTTTACGGTTATATGAATAGTAACCTGAGAAGAAATATTTTGAAATTTAAAATTTACTAATTTAAGGACTTAATGAATGGTTTCATTTGTTTTTATTTGATATAAAAATTGGGTTTAAAACTAACTGATAGGTTTTATCTACTTTGAGGTTCAATCCGCTATCTCTAGACCATCACTAAGTTCTGTTTAGAACAATGGAGATCCATACTTTCTGCCATATAAAGCCTCATACGGAACTATCTATATACTGGAGTAATGATTATTGTTATAGGTGAATTCTGTCAATGGCAATTACTCATCCTAGTTTCTTTGAAGTCCAAGACACAGGCTCTAAGCATATCTTCCAGTGACTGGATGGTTTGCTCTGTTTGCCTGTCTGTTTGCAGATGTTATTTATGCTAAAACTTAGGGTTGTGCCCATCGTTTTGTGCAAAACTTTCTAGAATCTAGATATAAACTGAGGATCTCGATCAGATACAATATTCTTTGTACCTTATGTAATCATACAATCTCTTTGATGTACAACCTTGCTAACTTCTCCGGCGGATAATTAACCTTCATTGCCATAAAATGGTTTTTGGAAGAAAATACACCTAGGGTTCTATATGCTCAATTCGGCCAGCTACTGTTCATAGGGCAGGAAATTGTTTTAGCTTGATTTGATGATTCCAATGGGTTTAAAACATTTTTTTTGTAGGGGTATACTATTGGAAAGTGCGTAAAATCATTGAAATCAAAAATAGAATTTTTGGAAGATTATACCCCCTATTCAACCAAGACGAATTCAAGGAGAAAAAGTTTGATTTTCAAAAATCTGTTTTCATATTTGAATTCCTCATGAAAAATTGTGTAAGAATGAGTCATGAAGTTATTGATTCAAAAGGAAGAATTATTTTGTTAAAAATCAAAGAAAAAGGGGGAAATTGTTAAGTTAAAGATAAAGTGCTATGTTTAAGTTGTTTGGTTATTAATATAGCCTATGTTATGCTTGAATTAATAGGCTTTGTGAGGAGGAATGAAAGAGAATCATTGTCCCTTGAGAAGACCAAGTTAACCAAGTGATAAAAGGTAGCTTTGAATTATAATTTGATTGTATATCTTGCTTGTGTAATGTGATTTGTTATTTACTCGGATTGAGGAACTTGTATTGTGACCTTAGTTGGTTGGATACCCTTGGTTTATGTATTGGCGAAATGCATTGAATTGTGTTAATGTGGAAGTATTGATGTTCCTCTCCTAGCATGAGACTAAGCATGATTTTATATGACTTGAGGATGTCTTGAAGTTCTATAACATGTTACATTGTAACTTGCTTAATTTACATGATAATTGTAATTCAAATGCTATTGAGATTTTTATGAATTCTCATTCCTCCTATATTAAATTATGTCTTAAATAGGAAGTGGCTCCTTCATGGATCAAGACAAGGAATTGGTGTTAGGATGAAAGGGCTTTGTGAATGTTATATTATTTTAGAATGTCATGTAATTTGCTAACACACTTTATGTTGAGTTTGTAATGAATTATGAATGGTAATATGTGGTAAACTATATTTGTATAACTTGGATGGTACAATGTAAAAGGATGAGGAAAAGGAAAAAGGGAAATAAAATTAAAGAAAAATGTAATTTGGAGATAAAATTGCCTAAGTTAGGGGTAAATTTGTGACACATAAAATAATAAGAAAATAATGGAACTTGAACTTGAGATTTTACAGGCAAATAGATCTCATTGTTAGCTTTAAATCAAGTAGTAAACCATCTAATTTGGAGTTGTGTGCTAAGAGTTATGCCCTTCAAAAGTTGGGCTAAAATCCTGGAAATTCAAAAATTGACCATATGAACAGTGCACCTTGTCAACTTTTCTGGTGCTGTTCTAGATGGTATTGAGTCTAATAAATATTTTTTTTCTATAGAAATCTTAGCAAGATTCATGTAAAAATTGGAGTCATCCCATTTTATTTTTTCTAGAATAAGTTATGAATTTTCAAAGTTGGCCCAAATTCAGATGAATAGTGTACAAACAGAATAAAATGTGAAATTTTGAAACTGAAATTTTTCGCTCAGAAACATTTGGAAATGCATTATAATAGTTTTAATTGATGTATAATGGGGTAATAAAGGAAGTGTTATGTCATAAGCCTATATGTTTCATGACAAATGCATGATGATTTTCAAACATGTCATTATGTAATAAAGATATTAAGTTGCAAGCATGTTATGAATGCCAAGCTTGCCATATATATTTGGGTAGTTATTATTTGCTATTGAGATTCTCCTAAATCTCACCCTCTCATAACTAACCATAATAGGTTTTATGAGCAAGGAAGAGGATTGGCAAGGTATGGAATCAAGAAGAGAAGAATTTAAGAAATGATATGTTACGTTATATTATATCATGTTATGTAACCCTTATGATGATATGTGTAATGCACATGCCTCTAATATTATGTAAAGAGAAAAGATGAGAATGGCCTGGGATGTGTACTATATGCCTGCAAAAATTCATGGCTTAATTCGTTCATTTGATAGGTCAAACTGGAGCTCGAAACTGATTACTCCAGGACCTACGTTTTTCTCTTCACTTTTTCTTGCTTTAATACTTTTTATTACTTTGACATGCATAACTTGGGCTTACTCTTTCCCATTCATTCTCATACATTTCTGTTCATGCCATAGACATTCTAATCAATCACATTGCATCGTTGGCATCCATAAACATAATTTATATAATATGAGAACTATACATTGAACATTAGTCTCACTCGTTAACATCAATAATTCTCCACTTTCTTCTCATTCCTTCTCATGTTCTTTTTCATGCAATCATTGCCCATCGTACTTGAACTAAATGGTTGGTTAGAGAGGGGTGAGATTCGGAGGAATCTTAGTAGCAAACAATATCATATTAATTATGCTAGATGAATGCTAATACATTATATGTAACTTGCTTATTCTCTTGTTAATTAGTGACATATTAGCATGCTTAATGCTACCTACTTAATGCATGGCCATTAATTTGATCAAGTTTTACTGCATTAATTCATGTCTAATTGCATGTTATTAGAGGGATTAATTGGCTTCAAATGCATGTCTTGATATGAATTGTGAGTTTGATTTCTTATTAAGCACTTTGTAGGGGCAAAATTGTCATTTTTGCTTCTTTTTAATTAATCATTTTTTATGAAATTGAATTGGATATTACAAGTGCTTAATTTGATTTTTAGGTCTAAGTCAAAGTTGGGAACATCTCCAAAGGACCTGAGTTCAAGAAAATTATAGTTAAGGGCCAACAAGTTACATAAACTCCACGAAAGGGCCAACTAAATGCAGCTGTGCATTTTACATATTCAATCGTGAAGGAATGGCATGTTAGTCGTGATGAAATCGCACAGACACAAAATCAGGTTTTAAGCTTCAGATTTCAATTTTTTGAAAGAAAACCCACGAGCCAGCTATAATACTTCATCTAAACACTCCCATTTTTGTCTCATAGGGTTCTTTAAGGGTTCTTGAGGTTCCCCTATTGATTCCTACCATTTACACTCCATTTCCACTTCATTCTATCACTTTTCTGCGTCATCCATCATCTATCTTCATCTGTTATGGCTGGTGCTGTGATTTCAAAGCTTATAGGAGCTGCATTTGAAGTCAGGAGAGACTAGAACGTGTTTCCTTGAGGAGTTTTGATGAAGGCCTGAGATTGGGACTTAATTTGGGGAGTTTATTTCATCTTTTCCATTACTTTAATAGCATTTCAGTTGTTCTTAGTTAGAATTTTTGTTTTGTTGTTAGAGTTGAACCTCACTGTTATAATCTTTTCATTTTGGATTGGATTCTGAGAGTTTATGCTTTGGTATTTGTGTTGTAATGAGAATCCTACATTTAGTCATGTGAATATTAGTTGATGATCAATCTAATTTTGGTTTTGATTAAATGTGGTGTCCTGCTAGCATAATTGGTTATTGTGTTGAAGCTGTTAATACCATTGCATTAATCTCACCAAGTGTGCATTCATGAGAGTGGTTCGTTTTGTTGTGACTCTTGGGGTCAAAGGTTTCATTAACATACTAATTTACCTAAGTTTGAAAGGTTTTCCAAGCTAGCTAAGATTGGTTTTGAAGTAAACTCCCAACATATTTTGAAGTGATAAAGGCTTAATCAAGTCTCCAAGGGGCATTTTTATCAATTAAGTTTACAAACTATCTATTTAATTATTTTCTTTCATTACTTTCTTAATTCATTTAAAAAGACCAAAAAGACTTTACTTCTTTCACACTTTGATTTCATTGCAACTTAGTTTCAGTTTCACACACCTCCAAATTTTAATTCCTTTTGCATGGTTTTGTCACTTAAATTATATAGGAATAATT